AGTTCTTGTGTTTTTTGGACATTAAGAGTCAGAAAGGTTTTAATCTGCTGTCTGTAACCAATTAGGTCTGATGTGCCTGAAATGAGGCAGAGAATAGCTCTGTTATCAAAAAATTTGAACACATAGTTGTTGATTAAAGGCTGTTTGGGGAACATGATTGTATTTTTGCTGCTTTTGACACAAGCTATTGTATTATATCACCATTTTTATATACCAGTGACATTAGTATATTAGGCTGGTGCTGCTGCTTTGGTAATTTAAATTGGTAATTTTCCAAACTAATAAAAAGATGTTATCTTCTATGTCCTTATGAAAATTATAAAATTAAATATTAATAGCTTTGTCGAACATTGCTAAATATGTTAGGATTCACCTGTTGCTTTGTTAAGCATAGTGCTTTTTACATGCAATTTTAATTTGTTTATCAGTGTCTCCATCATGTTAATCAATTAATGCTAATCTAACCCATCCATTACTGTTGATCTCCTCATTTTTGAATCTTGACCCACTTTTTTAAAATCCTCTTTAATGCATGGTATTTTCTGACTGCTTGCCTTTGTTGCTTTTAAACTTTATTACTCCGTAGCATCTTTAAAAGTAGTTAAATGTCATTTCAAAATAAAATATATTATCATCATTATAATTATAAATAACAGCTACAAATATATTATTCAATGTGAGTGGTTTCTGTATGTTAGCTGTATGATCCAGAGGCTATTTTTTCCAGTTTACCAAAATCCTCATTATTTTGTTTTCTTTTAAATCATATTCAGGAAGAGAAGAGAGGAGAGATTTAGCCAGTTCATAAAAAATTCAAGCAAAACCTAACAAATATAGAGTGATATAACAGGAAGTGTAATAAAAACATGTTTTAAAAATGGCTGAATACAAAGATCTGAATGAGGCAAACTTACTTGTCACATGGTTGGCAGATTTTGCAGGTTCCACTGTTGCAGTAGTGGTTGGCCTTACACTTGCACTTTGTATCTTTATAAGGGGTGCAAGGTTCATCTACTTCTAAGTTAGCTAAAAGACCAAGAAAAAAGTTCTAATTAGCACACAAAAACCCTGGAAATAGGCTTTAATTCTTTTGTTTTAACATATTTATTCGCTTTACCTCAATTCTTCCTTAAAATCATCTGGTTGGACTTTATCACATTTAGTATATGACAAATAATTCAGCAATTACAGTGTGCAAAAAGTGCAAATTGCATAGCTGCTAATACATTTCAGCATAAATGAGGAAACATAAATAGATATGAGACTGCAGGGCAGTTATGTCTTTCTGCTGAAAAACAAGCAAACAGTAAATTCAAAGCTAGACAGAGTATGACCTTAAAAGAGTCTGTCAAACAACAGACAACACAAATTCTCTCAGTCTCAATTATGCATTTTTGACATAACAGATTAGTTATTTGGCTCAATGGTTCTTAACATGAACCTGTTTTGCTTTTACTATATTATGGTTTGTGATCTATTTGCAAACAAATACGACTTTGAAACTTAATCAAAACAAAAGCGAGTAAGCCCTTTTACATTTGAATCTGATATCTTGATGTGTGTCCACACATCAAGATGTGGGACCAGCCCCCCTGCAAGCATTAAATGGGGGTAGAAAAGGAACAGCTATACACTCTGCGTGTACAAAATCACAATAAATCTGTCTAAGTCTAAGTCCTGCAATGTTTCTTACCGTTTTCATGAGAACAGGATGTGCAGGGTTCACAAGACTCCTTAGAGTTGGGCTCACTGTTATAGGAAATACCAGGTTCACAGAATTCACATTCTCTGTCATCTGGAGATGTAGTGCAGTGATTCTTTAACCGCTGACCTGCAATTACAAAAAAATATAACAATCAGGAGATAAAGAAGTTGGTTGCTCTAACTTAATTTCCTTTAGGACTTATAGGATTCTCCTAGGACTTAAATGTATAAAACATTTTTAAAACCATATATTATTTTATAATGCATAACTTAATGTTGGTCTATCACATAAAATTCATGATGAATTTGTGAATGAATAACTATTAACTATTATTTTAACTTTAAACTTTATATAAAAGCAGGAAAATCTCCATTTTTATACTGATTAATGGGATTAATCACTAAACTGTCCCCTTTAATAACCATGATGATTAGTAAAAGATCTCCATCTTAGAAAGATGCAGTTATTTCTGTCATTTCTAATGAGGGTAGGGACAGGATTGCAGCACTTAATCATCTGATTCGTTTCCTCTTTTTGTTTGTTCACTTTTATATTACTAACACAATTCCTCTATAATGAACCAAGGGCTCTCTTGATGATTAATGTGAAGCTTTCCCTCACCTGAGCACATGGAATAAAACAGTTTTAGCCCTCTTATTTGTCATTTAATGAGCCCTGATGCCAGCTGATGAGGCAGAAAAAGAAATAAATGAAGGTTATGCCTGCTGGGAATAAACAAGCTGTTGCAATGTGTTCAGACAATTCACTGGTATGTTTGGAGGAACCTGAATTGTTTGTGGAGCTCATGCCTTGATAATTTTGTGAATTTGTCTGGCTACAAACTTATATATCCAAAACTAAAAAATGAATCTAAACTAGGTTACATTTATGAATTACAATGGTAAGCTGTTTTAAAATTCTGCGGCGTAAAAGATATGTCCTAATTATGACCACCCAACGAAGTTCCATTATCAATAAAATCAGATCTTCAAAGAAGGAATCTTCTACCCTTTTTAAATCTGAATTTGAGGAGTATTAAAATTAATATAATCAATTGATTACCATGTTTGATCAAAAGCTTTCCCATTGAAGTGAGTGATAATCTATTCAGGGTATAGAACAAAGAGGGTTTTTCTATATATGGAAAGAAACTAAGAATTGAATATACAATTCCAGTCATGAAAAGTAAAATTAGACCCATCTTACACTATTGTAAGCCAAATGACAGCGGTAGCTACATCCCATCATTTTGCATTTAAAATGTAAGCAAATAACGCAAACTTTATTTTCTTTTTAATGGAATAAAATGATAACAGAGCACACTAAACTTTAACAAAACACACTAGAAAACAGCCAATATTTTCTGAGAGCTTGAATATGAAAAATAACTTCCTGGTCCAAAGCAGAGATGTTTTCTGCAACTATTTAACATGACAGCTGGGCCTGCTTGTTTTAACAGAGCAGCCTCTTATCTTCATGTCACAAACAGCCAAAAGGAAATCACTCAACTTTGAGGATTCGTAAACTGTTTTTGTTTTTTTTTGCATATTTCGGCACAGAAAAGGTGTTTTCCCCCAGATATGTGGATGCAAATGGAAACAAAACATCAGTTGCAGCTTTTAGCAGTGCTGCATAATCTGTTGCTACTGACAACCATAACTCTTCCAGCACGCAATCTGTAAAGCACGATCATAGGAGAGATCATACAGGGCGTCCTGCAGCTTTGATAACAGGTGATATGCGGTGAAAAGCTAGCCTTTCCAGTTGTACTTTTGCAGAGTCTCATAATGTGGGGAATTCTTATTGAATCTTTCAAACAGGCTACTTAGGTGTGAGCAAATAATTCCTTTCATAGCTTGAACGGTTATGTCATAACTCTCAGCTACATGTCATTTCAGCATTTCCCCCTTTCCACTCGCATAGCCCACCGCTCCAGCATTCTCTTAAATGCTGGATGCTGGTTTTGAGCAAAAAAATGCCTGTTTGAGACCAATCGCTCGCTGTGCTTTGTATGTCTGTTCAGAAGCAACATTAATTCTGGCATATTTTTTATTTTTTAGAAATGATTTGGAAATCCCCAGAAATCATCTTACGAACCCAAGGTTGAGAATGGCTGCACTGCAGATGTGGCATAAAGCAGGCTAGTTCTGTGGAATGGGAAAAATATATATATTTTAAAGACTGTATATGGTCTCCCTTCAGTATAAGTTTCAAACTGAACAAAGATTTTAAGTTTGGAGTAAAAAGGAACAAACAACACATACCGATTACACACAAAATGATAAAATCCTATATAGTAACAATAAATGGGAGCAAAAAGCAGGGCTAAGGATTTCCAATAAGATCTGGGGAAAAGCCCAGAGTTGTAATCGAGTTCAGGGGGGCAATATACTTCCTAACAAAGGTAAATGAAACACAGCTGAGTCAGCAGTGTTGTGTAACTGTGATCTGAATCGCTTTCCTAAACTGCTACTAGCATGGGGTGCTGCGAAAATGTTTTTGTTTTTTTTCTAGAGAAAAGACCCATGAGCCTCTAGACCTATTTGAAATAGAATAAAAATAAATTAATAAACAGATTGGAATTCACTAATTTATTTCATATACACTTCACTACACATTGCCTGCAACCAGGGTCTGTAACACACAGACATCATCAGTTCTAAGGTGAATATGCAGCATACTTAAAATTCACAATAACGCTATAATAAATTAAAGCTAGCATGAACTGACTATATTATTATACATTTTAAACGTTATTGAACAGTTATCCATTACACAAAGAACACAATATCAAAATAACTCTCTAAAATACTATGGTTACATTAAACTGCATGAATAGATATGAAAATGCATGGAGGCACCATGCTCTTACTATGAGCTACAGGCAGGGTGCCCTGCCTGCTTACAGGTGTCCAATTAAGGTGTTCTGGGTTCATGGATATAAAGTCTCTCATAACGAATCCGAAACTTGTTTCTGTGCCGTATTTCCTCCTCGTTTCTGTCATTAGATTATGTACATTTACTAGTCTGCAGTTGTATGTGGGATACCAAACTCCAGCTTGCTTGACGTTGCCATGACAATGTAACTTCCATGAACTTGTGTTGATCAGGCTTCAAATAATTTATTGAAAATCCAAATATACATAATAGTACAATAAAATAAGTCAAAATAATTTCCCAAAATATTTATAAGAAATGTATAAATTGTGTAAAGTATTTTTAACGTCTTATAATCCACCGGTTCGCCCACTGTTGGTTAGATATATTTCGACCTAACAACGCATGAAAATAACAATGGTTAAACTTTTACCAATATCGACGTGTTAGACATCGTTATAAATCTTAGATTCTCCACGATTCTACCATTAAGTTAATTTTATGGATACAGCAGGCACCAAAGCACAATTAACACAGATATAGCAGGATTGTAAAACATAAATATGAAAAAACATCTGCGACAACAAATAAATACAGTCTTCAATTGTTTATACTCCATTCATCCATAAGGGTCCACAGATAAAAAGTAATCCAGCATTATCATAATACAAATATTCAGTCATATGAAAATGATCACATAACGTCAGAAAAGTTCACTGGTCATAGCTAATGCTTGGCATATTTCTAATAAGATGTACTGTTTGGCTTTGTAGCCAATGAAATAGGGTTTCAAATAAAAGTAGGCATGGCTAATTTGAGTTGTGCAGCCCGGATATATTGCCCAGCTTAATGTAGGGTAGATTAAATCTAGGACTGGGCAATAATAAGCTTATATTACAATGTATTTCTTGATTTTTATATAATTACAACATCAATATAAACATTATTAAGATAGTGCTGCAACTAACAAATATTTTGCAAATCGATTAATTTGTCATTATTTCTTTCGATTAACTGATTAATAATCAGATAGTAAAAGATACCTTGAAGGAGATTTTTTAGAAATTAAACCTGTTGAAACTAAACATCTTTTACTTGAAGAGTTCTGATTAGAACATATTGACAGACGAAAATGTCAATACGATGCAGGGATTATTTATTTTTTCCTAATCTTTGTATAATTACTGCTCTGTTAACTAAAGGCATGTTTTGGGGAGTTGTGGCCTAGTGGTAAGGGAATAAATACTGCCTCTCTGGGTCCCTGAGCAAAGACCCCTTAACCCACACTGCTCCCTGGGTGCCGCACAATGGCAGCCAACTGCTCCCCAAGGGGCTGGGTTAAATGCAGAGTTCATTTGGTTGCTCTGTACTTGTGACAGTGAAATGAAAAAAAAAAAAAGCTGGAAAAAAAATGTAAGAGTTTCTTTACTCCAGTTAACAATTAGTCAATTGCTAAATTAGTTGAGGATTATTTCAATAATCGATTAATCCGATTATTTACTTCAGCCTCCATTAAATCCTTGGAAAGACCGCCTATAATGCCCAAACCAAAATCCTGTTAAAACTTATGAAAATCATTTTACTATATTTATAAAACCGCTTTTAAAGATTACTGTAGAAATATTTGTGTTACAAAAACAAAATACATAAAACTTAATAAGACCCCGAACATGAGTCAGTGACATATACTCTAATGTATATTAAAATCTAAAAAAAAATGGGTTTAAAAGTCATGCTATGTCCAGACCATAATGCTGAAAGCAGCAAAACAGCTTCTGCTACATTTTTTGTGCTTGTTTACATTAAGGTCAGAAACGTGTAAAGAGCAGCTTTGACGCTCCTGAAGCGCGTCCAGTAAAGTGTGTCCAGATGATTCTGCTACTCCTGTGTTCAATGGCAGAGAGCAGCTTTACTATATTTACTGTGTGTTTACCAGTGGGTGAAAAGTAGTTTTAATGTTTCTAAGCGAGAAAGTCAACCTGAAAACTTAATCTGTGTAGTCAGTTCATAAAGATTATGATCCTGCTTTTAAATATAATTTCACTGTTGCAGCCTCTCAGACCCCGTACACTGGCGCTGCGTTGGGAATCCCTTTCAACAGCAGCCTCCGGCCCACTCACCTCTTCAGCGTTCTCTGCTACTGTTCGTGGCGGCTGGAAGGCATTTTTCTATGTAATCCAAATTGCCGGCAGGTTTTAACATTTTAAGATAATTTAGGCTTTGAAAAACTGTTACAGGGGAGTGATCAT